CGCCCATGTCGCGCGCGCAGGTCTCGCTCGCGCCCGCGCGCGTCGCCGATCGGCGCCGCGTCGGGCGCACTCGCGCCGCCCGACGCGCCGTCGCCGTCCGCGCGTCGACGGTGGAACGCGACGTCGTCATCGTCGGCGCGGGCGTCAGTGGTTTGTCCACCGCGTTCACGCTGGCGAAGAAGACGATGCCGAACGCGAGCGTGATGGTGACCGAAGCCAGAGATCGCGTCGGTGGGAACATTACGAGTAAGAGCGATGGCACGTACACGTGGGAGGAGGGGCCGAACTCGTACCAACCTGGGGATGCGATCCTCACGCTGGCGTGCGACGCCGGCATGCGGGACGACATCTTATTGGCCGATCCCGCGAGCAATCGATACGTGCTGTGGGATGGGAAATTGAGAATTTTGCCGCACAGCATCGAGAGTGCGGTTTTGGGGGATTTCTTGACGTGGCCGGGGAAGATTCGAGCCGGTTTGGGGGCGATCGGAATCAGGCCGCCGGCGCCGGGTAAGGAGGAGAGTGTGAAGGAATTCGTGAGCAGAAATCTCGGCACGGAGGCGTTCGAGCGATTGATCGAACCATTTTGCTCGGGGGTGTACGCTGGGGATCCCGCGAGCTTGAGCTCGGTCGCGGCGACGGGGCGAGTGCAGCGACTTGAACCGCTGGGGGGGTCGCTCGTGGTGGGCGCGCTCAAGGCGCAGGCGGAGGCGGCGAAGGCGAAGAAGGAGAGCGGGTTCAAGCGCGATCCTCGACTTCCGGAAGTGAAGGGTCAAACCGTAGGTTCGTTCCGAGGTGGTTTGAAGACATTTCCAGAGGGATTAGCGAAACAACTCGGCGACGACGTCGTCAAGTGCAACTGGAAGCTCGTCAATGTCAACAAGGCTGCCGAGGGCGGGTACACGTGCGAGTACGATACCCCGGAGGGGCGACGAACGGTTATCGCCAAGTGCTTGTTGCTCACCGCTCCGGCGTACGTCACCGCTGAGATCGTCAAGGACATGGCTCCGGCGGCTTCGACGGCGCTCAACAAGTTTTACTACCCTCCGGTGGCGTCCGTGACGGTTTCGTACAAGAAGGACTCGTTCCGTCTTGACGGCACTTCAGCGCTTCCTGAGGGTGGTCTCACTGGTTTCGGTCAGCTCCACCCGCGCTCGCAGGGCATCCGCACGCTCGGCACGATTTACTCGTCCTCGCTTTTCAAGGACGACAAGCGCCAGCCGGATGACGAGTTCATGATCTTGAACTACATCGGTGGCGCCCGAGACGTCGCGATCAAGGACTTGAGCGAAGATGAGCTCGTTCAGCAAGTGCACGAGGACGCGCTCAAGACGATCCTCAAGCCCGGAACGCCCCTTCCCAAGGTTGTCGGCGTCAAGCTGTGGGAGAAGGCCATCCCGCAGTTCAACCTCGGCCATCTCGACGTCTTGGCCGAGGCCGAGAACGCGCTCGAGGCGGCGGCGTGCGGCGAAAAGGATGGTCTCTTTCTGGGCGGTAACTACACTGCCGGCGTCGCTCTCGGTAGATGCGTCGAATTTGGCGTTGAGCAAGCCGACGAGGTCGCCACGTTCCTCAAGTCGGCGAAGAAGCTAACTGCCGCGGTTTAATTTACACAAGATCACTATCGCGCACACATCGCCGCCCCTCGACATAGCGATGCGTTACCCTCGTCTCTCTTCTTCGAACCGCGTTCGATGCATGATCGTCCTCCCGTCACCCTTCGACGCGTTTCGCCCTCACGTCTCGCAGTAACATGTGACTCATCCTAGGGCGAAAAAGTGATCTCGTCAAATTCCCGCGCTCGCGCGGCCAAAACCTCGCCCGTCTCACGAGCGAGCGTACCGAAATCGACGCAAGGGCGACCTCGACCGCGTCTCGCGTCCACCGCTTCCCCGGTCGCGCCTCGATCGTCGTTAACAGCGACAGCGCGTCGGAAGTTTGGTTGATTCCTGAAATCAATCGGCACCGCGTAAAGTTTTAGAATCGCGACGTTCACGCGTCGTTCACGTCTCAGAGTTCGTCGAGAGATCGATCGATCAAGTCATGGGAGTTCCGAAGTTCTTCCGATGGCTCGCCGAGCGATATCCGCTGTTGCAGCAAGAGATCGCCGGGTCGCAGATTCCGAAGATTGATAATCTGTACCTGGACATGAACGGCGTCATTCACAACTGCTCGCACGGCGCTGGCACGGACGTGAACACGCGCATGAGCGAGGATGAGATGATGAGTAAGGTGTTCGCGTACCTGGATCACCTGTTTCGAATGACACGACCGAATAAGCTGCTGTACATGGCGATCGACGGCGTCGCGCCCCGGGCGAAGATGAATCAGCAGAGAAGTCGACGTTTTCGAAGCGCATCCGAGGCGGCGAAAGATCGCGAGGAGGCGCGTCGTCGGGGTGAGCCCGAGCCAGAGGGCGAACCTTTTGATTCGAATTGCATCACCCCTGGGACGGAGTTTATGGCTCGATTGACGGAGCACTTGAAGTTTTACGTGCGCAAGAAGCAGACGGAGGATCCGCTTTGGGCAAAGGTCACCGTCATTCTCTCGGGGCACGAGGTCCGAGGGGAGGGTGAGCACAAGATCATGGAACACATTCGATGGGCGCGTACGCAACCGGGATGGGAGCCGAATCAAACGCACTGTCTGTACGGTCTCGACGCCGACCTCATCATGCTGGCGCTGGTCACCCACGAGCCGCATTTCTGCTTACTTCGCGAGGTGGTCAAGTTCGGCGGCGGCGAGAAGGGACAACCGAGCCGAGAAATCTTATCGAACCCCACCGATGACGGCTTCATCTTGTTGCATATCGGGCTTCTTCGTGAGTACTTGGACCTGGAATTCCGCGAGAAGAACTTGTCGTTTGGGTACGACCTCGAGCGAGTCATTGACGATTTCATCTTGTTATGCATGCTCGTCGGTAACGATTTCTTACCCGCGCTGCCAACTTTGAACATCGCCGAAGGTGCGTTGAACACGCTTTTCAAGGTGTATCACGACACTCTGCCCATGCTGGGTGGATACATCACGGGTGACGAGGGTGGTGGTACTTTCAACGCAGAGCGTCTCGAGAAAATCATGAGCATCATGTCCACTTTTGAGCGCCAGGTGCTGGAGGATCGCGCGCTCGACGTTGAAAAAGAAGAGGAAAAGAAGGCCCGGCGAAACAAACGCTTCGGTGACGGTTCGGCATCCGAGCTCAACGTCGAGGAGAAATTCGACAAGGATATGTCTGAAATGAGTGAAACGGATGGTACGCCACAAGTGTCATCGGATCCGGTGATGATGAACGCCGCCAAACGGGCTATGATTCTCGAGGGGGGAGAGGAGGGTTTGCAAGCTTGGAAGGACCAATACTACAGAGAAAAACTTGGGCTCAAGATGGGTGAAGCTGCGCCTCTGGCGGAGATCCGTCAAGCGTACTTTGATGGCTTGAACTGGGTACTCAGGTACTACTACCGCGGTGTTGCATCTTGGACGTGGTACTATCCGTACCACTACGCCCCGATGGCGAGTGATCTTTGCGCAGGAATGGAAAAGCTCACGTCAGAGTTCGACTATGGTGAGCCTTTTAGACCGTTTGAGCAGCTCATGGCTGTTCAGCCGCCTTCGAGCTCAAAGCTGCTGCCCGAACCTTTCCGTCACTTCATGGAGGATCCGCGATCGCCGCTGGCCGAGTTCTTCCCGGAAGACATCCCGGTTGACTTTGAGGGGAAACGAAACGATTGGGAAGGCGTCGTACTGTTACCTTTCCTGGATGCTGACCGCTTGAAGGCGGCGGTCGCGTCTGTGGAGGATTCGCAACTCACTGCGGGCGAGATTGCTCGCAACAAGCCCGGCCACCTGATTTTCTTCAACCACGCTCCAGGAGGCGCGGGAGACGTTCAGAGTACGCTTCCCAAGTCTTTTGCGGGACTCTTTCCGGCTAAGAGTAAGATGACCATGCGCATGCCTCCGGGAGAGTTCCCTGACGACGTGAAGTGCTTCGGCGGTGAAGACTCCGTGTTTCCGGGCACGAAGATAGGACTCGATAGCCCAAGCGGATTCCCCACGGTCCGCACTCTCCCGGTGTCTGGCGCGTTGAAAAACGCGGGCGTTAAGGTTTTCGGAAACGCGTCGAAGAAGGAATCACTTGTCATTCAGATCGACGGCGTTGATAAGGAGTTAGTGGGTGACTTGACTGGCTCCGGGGCGAGTGACATCGCAGCGGTGTTGTTGAACAAGCGCGTTCAAATCAAGTGGCCGTATCTTCAAGAAGCGCTCGTCGTCGGAGTCTCCGATGCAAAGGAGCGCATCGTACCCGTACCTGGGAAACCGAACGACTTCGCGAGCAAGCCGAATAACAGCTCGGAGTGGGGCGCTGAAATGCAAAAAGTGACCAGCGAGTACTTGGCCAAGTACGGTGTTGCAGCCGGCCGATCGAACGTGGCGCTTCACTGCCGCGCGTGCGAAGGGCTCGTTCGTCACCCCGATGGTTCGCTCCAAAAGCGTTTTGCGAAGACAGAGATGATGGTACCGATTCAGCTCGTCATTGCGAAGCACAACGCTCCATCCTCTCGAATGGAGGAGCGACCGGCGCTCGACGCGGGAGAAGCCGCGGGTGATTTCCAGGAAGGAGACGTTGCTTTGTACCTCGGCCGTTCGTACTTCGGTGCTCTCGCCGTTGTCACTGACGTCTCGCCAAGTGGTTTGGGAGTTTCTCTTCATCCAGTTCCGCTTGATACGGGAGTTTCGCGACGCATTTTGAACGGTGTTGGTCAGAGATACATGTCGGGTGGAGAGATCGCTAGAAAGCTTGGTGTGCACCCGAAAGTGATTGGATGCATCACAGGCGCGGTTTGGGCTCAAGAAAACGCGAAGGCGCCGCGCAGCGAGCGCATAGATATCGGTTTGAACTTGAAGCACAATGGCAAGATGCTCTGCGTCGCCGGCTTTTGCCGACCGACGCAGGGCGATAAACCTGGTTGGGAATACAGCCAAGAGGCGCTTCGCGTCCTGCAGGAGTACAAGCGTGCCCACGCGTGGGTCTTCGCGGCTGTTGAAGACATCGATGACATGCGTGACGGAGTTAACATTGAGGATGTTCTAGCCGACTTGCCTGAATCTGGACGACTGGCAACGTTGAAGGGGACTAAGGCGTGGTTGAAGGCGCACCCTATCGCTCGTCGTCCGCTCGTACCGACTTCGTCGCAAGTTGCGACGGAGGAAGCCGTGCGCGCGCTTGTGGCTACCACAGCCGGAGGTACCAAGGCGGCGAAGGTCGTCGATCTCGAGGGCGTTTCTCCGCTCTTGCTCATGAAGGCCGTCACGGAGGGCTCTGTCGTGGACCTGTACGCCGGTGGCGATTTTGAGCTCGGCGACCGAGTCGTCATGGTGGGCGACAGCGGGCAGCCGTCATTCGGATCGCGCGGCGCGATCGTCGCCATACACTCGTACACGGACGCGCACACTCAAGATTCCAGGGCCGAGTCCGTGGAAGTCTTGTTTGACGAAGACTTTGTCGGCGGGACCGATCTGCACGGCGTCATCTCAAGCAAGCGAGGCGCCATGCTCCCCGTGGCTCAGTTGATCAACCTGTCGCACCCACCGGCGATGCCAAACCTCGGTTCGGCGGCGCCGAAGCTCGTGGTCAAGGACGCCAAGGGTGACTTGAACGCCCCAACGCAATGGAGCGAGCGAGCCCCGAAGATCCAGCGTGAGCCGTCTCCTCAACCACGACTTCCAGAGAATGATTCCAAGGGTTTCGACACAACCAAGGGGGCGGGACGAGGTAAGATGAAGAAACCGACGACTAAGGGCGCTGGATCATCGGATACGAGTGCGGCGTCGCCGGCGCCGATCCCGAGCAGCACGCGGATGATTTCCATGCTGAATAACGCCTCGGTTAAGGCGGCCGAGGCCAAGGCGGCGACGCCTGCGAAGAAGGCACCGTTGAGCATCAAGGAGTTGGAGGCGCAGATGCTTCAGATGATGACGCCGCCGAAACCCGCCAGCACGCCCCCCAAGACGGACGGTGTATCGAAGAAGGCACCGATGAGCATCAAGGAGCTCGAGGCGAAGGTCCTCGCCGAGGCAAAGGGTTCGAAATCCAAGGGCGCGCCTAAACCCAAAGAATCGCCCAACCCTCCGCGGATGCCGCGAACAAAGAAGCCTGTGGACGCTCCATCGCCTGCGCAACAACCGCCCCTTCCGTCGACGCCGGCGCCGGCGCCGACCGAGGTCGCCAGAGCCACCGCCGACAAATCCGCCGACGCTTCTTCCGACGCCCAACCATCCGACGCGGAAAGCGCAAAGCCCCAACCGCGCCGCATGATTCCTCGATTTCTCCTTCGCACCGGAAAATCATCCTAGCTCGACGCTCGATGTACGATGTAAGACGACCGCCGCGTCTTTCCACCGATCCGCCGACGCCGTCGACCCAATCAGGGTCTAGCTTTATCCACACCATCGCTCGACGTCGCCCCCTCGGCACACCTCGCCGTTTTCGCGCCTCGCGCGCGGTTTCGTCATGTTCACCTCCGTCTCCGCGCCCACCAAGGTCGTCCTTCCCGGTCCGCTCCGCGCGCGCGGCGTCAAGCGATGCGCGCGCGCGACGATCGTCTCGCCGTCGACGCCATCGTTCGGGCGCTCTTCTCGCGTCTCCGCGCCGCGCCGCGGCGCGGTGCACACGAAAGCGATGTTCGGCGGCCCCAAAGACTCGGCGGGCGCGACCGAGACGACGCGCTCGAGCACGGACACGGTGATGATCGACCCGGTGACCGGGGCGAAACGCTTCTCGAATTACTTTTGGGCGAGCGTGGTGACGACGGGCGCGTCCGGGTTCTTAATCGCGGGCGCGAGCGCGTACCTGCATCATAACCTGTTGTTTTTCATCGATGCGACGGAAATTAAGTTTTTCCCGCAAGGACTGGTGATGAGCTTTTACGGCGTCGCGGGCGCGTTGTTGGCGACATATCTGTGGTTGACGATTTCCTGGGACGTCGGTTCCGGATACAACGAGTTTAACAAAGACGAGGGCATCATGCGAATCTTCCGATACGGGTTCCCGGGGAAGAACCGGAGGATTAATCTCGTGAGCGATCTCGCGGATGTGCAGGCGGTGAGGGTGGAGATCAGCGAGGGGGTGAACCCGAGACGCGTGGTGTACGTTCGATGCAAGGGCAAGCGAGACATCCCGCTCACGCGCATCGGTCAACCGCTCACGCTCGCGGAGGTGGAGCAGCGCGCGGCCGAGCTCGCAAAATTTTTACAGGTTCCCATCGAGGGACTGTAGTAGTGGAGCTTTTTAATTGTCTTTCATCGCCTTTTATCTAACGTCTTCGTCGTCGCGCGAGCCGCACACTCCGGTGGCGTCTGCGCGATGCCGCCGAATCCCGTCGACTTTCGTCTCGCAAACGCCCCGCTCACGTTCGTGGACGATCTCGCGCGATGCGCGCCGGAACTGCAAAACGTCGTAAACGTCCTCGATCTCCGTGCGCTCCATCTCGAGCGCGCTCTGCTCGAAGACATCAGGAGAAAGTCCAACGCGCAGCACCGCGGGAGCAAACACTTGGACGCGCTGACGCTCGCTCGACGGCTCTCGCGCGACGTCGACGCCTTGGATACGCGTGAGACGTTCGTTCGTCTACTGCGCGACGTCGAGGCGTGCGTGAAGCACGCGCGGTCGCTGGAGGGTGGGGAGACGCGCGAGGCGCCGGCGAGAGCGCGCGCGGACGCGTGCGCGACGGCGGCGCTCGGACTCGCGCGAACGCTCGAAAAGCTCGCGCGGGCGTGCGAAGACGTCGTGGAGGCGTTCGCGGGACAGCTGGGGCGGTCGTATTTCATGCCGTTGGCGCTCACGGCGAGCGCGTGCGCGTCGAGGATACGAATCGAGTGTCACGAGGCGGCGAGCGCGCTCGCGTCGGCGTATAATTGCGCGATGCGCGTGCGAGAAATTTTACCCCCACCGGGGGCGTTCGGGTCAGGGAGCGGGAATGGGGAGGATTCGGGACGAATGCCGCCACGGGAGCTCCGGGTGCTGATCAAAGAGGACGGGAGCGTGCGGCTCGTCGCGGTTGGCGATGAAGTCGGCGCGCTGGACGACGCGCTCGATCGCGCTTGGGCAAACGCCATCGTGCGCGATAATCCCTCGGCGGAACCATTGACGGTGGATGTGGGTGATGATGACCTGAGTGACCTCGGAGTGCGCGTGGATCGGGCGGATGCGAGCGATAGAGACGTCGTCGTCGTGGCGAAGCAATCGCAAATACCGCGCGCAAAGGCGCTCAAGTATGATCGAGCGGTGAGCGCTTCGTCCGCGCTCGGTGCGTTTCCGAGCGACAGTGCGAACCCATTCGCGTCAAAGAAGCGGCGGCGGAAGAAGAAGGACGGGGCGAACCAGGACGACACCGCCAAGGGAGCCAAGAAGAAGCCGAAACAACTCGAGCCGCCGAAGTCAAAGGAAGAGGCGCTCGAACGCCTGCGCAGCATCGGGTCTTTCGCGTGGTGACGATATAGAATTGATAGGTTACATATAGTGGACGAAGACGTCGTGTATCGATACTGCCGTGTAAAATGATGTAAAACGACTCCCATCATGGACCCATCAAGGTCAATATCTGATCGGTGAACGCTCTCCATCCCTCTTGGCCGACGTCTCGAGCCAATCGTCGATCGTCCCACATCACCGCGAACGCCATGGTGAGCCAAAACAACACCCAAAGCGCCGCGATCGCGCCGCACGCGCGCACGAACGCATTGGAGACCGCCGACAGCACGGTCGCGGCGTCGCGCGCCAGTCTCGTCGAAGACGCCTTCTTCCCACCCGTCGCGCTCGCCTCGAACGCCTCGTTCGTGCGCGTCGACCACGCGGCGGTCTCCTTCATCGCACTATCCCCTACCCATCGCGACGTATCGAACGCCCGTCGCATGTCCGCGACCGCGCGCTCGCACGCCTCGACGCGTTCCTCGCACGCGCGCGCGCGCGCCGCGCCGCTCGCCTCTGCGCGCGCCGTCGCCCTCCGCGCCTCCCTCGCGCTCTCCGTCGCCCTTCGCGCGTCCGCCAACGCGGCGTCTCGCACGTTTAATAACCGCGTGCTGAACGTCTCCAGCGCGTCGTCCAACGTCCGCGTCGTCCGCGCATCCAAATCGGGTCGCGTCGTCGAATCATCACCCGTCGTCGTCGTCGCCGCGCCCTCGGCGTCGCGCGCCGTCATCGCGTCCGTCGCGCGCGGGGTCGTCGACGCCGCGTCCGTCGCGAAGTGCGCGTCTCGCGGTCGCGCGTCTCGGAAAAAGCGACGGTTCGTCTCCCTCGGCCCGTCCGAGGACACACAGAGAACTGGGCACGGTGCCCGGATCGGGCGGACGGCGACCGCTACGACTCGGCCCGTGCGCCGTACGACGCGCCGGCGAGGACGAGACCGAGCGCGGGCGCGGGTGGGGCGGCGAGTCGACGGTCTCGCGCGCGGGCGATGCGAAGTAAGACGTCGTCCGAGCTGGGAGGACCGGCGGCTTCGCGCGCCGCGGTGGCGACGAGACATCGCGCGAGCTTGCGTAAGAAGCGATCAGCCTCGAGCTCGATGACGACGACGTCGAGGTCTTCGGCGGCGGCGGAATCTGAGACGGTGATGTCGACGTCTCGACGGGAGCGGCGGATCCCGGCGTGGGTGTCAGGGTCGTCCAACGCGACGCGCGGGAGACGCGCGTCGAACGCGCGAGCGACGGAGAAGTTCACCTCAGAGGAGCGCCCGGGTGGAGTTCCTCGCGCGAATGCGTGCATGTCGATGGGGCCGTCGACCTCGGCGAGTGGCTGGAGGATACGATTCATCGTCGCGCCGTCCAAATGCGCGCACGGGGTTCGTTCCTCGCCGAATTTTTGCGTTTTCGGCAAGACGTACACGTATCTTCGGCGAAAAGCGCTGAACGTTGCGTGAAAAGAGGACGGAACCTCCCTGATTTCGGATACTCGCAACACGCCGGCTTTTCCCGGCGCGCTCTCTTCGTTCACCAACCGCTCGATGCGCTCCGATGTTACCTCTGGATGACGCGTCCAAAACGAGACGCACGACGCGCCGGCTGACACTCCTCGATCCGTCCTTCCAGAACTCGGCGTCGGTCGACCCTTATCCGTAATGTCGCGCAGCGCCCACTGTAAAGATGCACTCACCGACGCCTCTCCGAACGCCCACTCCTTCTCTCCGTCGACGTCGGCGTTCCACGCGTACCCCGCAAACGCGACTCCGCGATAGGCGCATCGAAACGCAAACGTCCTCCGACCCGGTCTTCGCGCGTGCCTCGACGACGTCTCACCCGTACCAACCGGCACCCCATCGATGGAACACGGTCGTAAACTACTGTTTAAATCGCCCACGCACGTCTCACCTCGCACTAACGCTCGATGAAACGCGTCGACGCTTCCCCACGCGCGGTCGTCTAAAAATTTTGACTGCTGCACCGGATCCCACCTCCGAACGTTCGCGTCCCGTCCAGCCTCGCACGCGTGTCGTCCGCACGGTGACGTCGCGCGTAAAGTTTGCGTGACGTGTCGCGGGACGAAATCCTCCGTGATCGCCCCTCGATCGTCCTCGACGTCGTCGCTCGACATGTTCCTACGAAGCAGTCGCGTGGACGTTTTCACCGTCTCCCGCGCCGCGAGCGCGCGCGCGCGCGCGCGCACGCCCGCGGACGGTACCTTGTACCCTCTGTTCGCGATCGGTCGCTCGATGCGACGTCGCGAGACGTCGCGCGGGGTAATGCGCGCGTCGCCGCCACTTGGGGACGCTCTTGGAAAAGTGCACATTTCTCAATGTCGACGCTGGCGCGCGCCGAGAGCGCGTCGACGCCGGACGAAGACGTCCCGATGACGTCATCGAGTGTGTCTGGATCCGCCGCCGTGGGCGCGTACGAGGCCCGGGAGCTGTACGACGCGAACGCGGACGCGCGAGAAGCGAAGGCGTTCAGACGCGCGCTCGGTCTCGACGCCGTGGGCGACGACGCGCGCACGGACGCGGTGCTGTCGTGCGTCGGATGCTTTGCAACGATATGTGCGCTGTGTCAAAAGCACGAGCGGCACGAGCAGTACCGAGCGGTGTTCGCGGCGGGGGTGCGGACGGAGACGGAGGTTGCGTGGCGGCCGAGCGAGGCGACGGACGCGAACGAGCGGTATCGAGAGGTGAAGTGCGAGGAGTGCGGGACCACGGTGGGAGTGATGGACGACGACGACGTCTACCACTTTTTTAACGTGCTCGCGAGCGCTGGATGAGCGACGGGGTAAGGTGGTGATTGGGAGTCGTTTGGTAGTTGAGCGTCGTGTCGGTTATTTTGGACTCTCGGGGCGGCGGTGAGGGGAGAGACCGTGACGTGCGGTGCTTTTCGTCGTGATTTTCGGACATGCGACGACACGAGACTCGTCGCGGCGGATGGAACCGCGCGGAGGCGGCGCCGGCGACTTGGGAGGAGGACAAGTGTCGTGAGGAGGACGAGGCGCGGTCAAAACCGTTGACTGACGGCATAGGAGAATGTGAGAGAGTGAAATATCGGGCGATCCCGAGCGCACCGCGGCTCATTGATATCGCGTGGGATTGGTTCACGATACAAGCTTGCATTGTCGCAGGCTTGATCGTGCTGACCGGTTATTTCACCTTTATATCCACGGCGACATGGAGAAAGTGCACGGCCGCACTCGACGTGGAGTTCCGGGACTCAGCGGGCAGAGAGGAAGTTGTGCGCTCGTTCCTTCGATGTACGTTCGGACGCGAACGTGGAAGAGGGTACGTACCTTGGCGGATGGAAGACTTCTCTGTGCTCTTCGTGAGAATATCCACCTTGGGGTATTTTGGTGAGGTGATATTTCATCAACAGAGCGCCTGGCACGCGTCGAAGCATCGGAAATGGAGAACCAAGCTCGCCATCAACTCGTTCGCGGCTTATTACGTGGTTTACTTTGTCATGATTGCAATTTTGGGGTATCATTCGCGATACTCGCAGGCGGTATGCATGTCATGCTTCGGTGCACTCTTTTACTGCGGAGCGACGTCCAAGGAGTTTTGGTCGACGAAAGGCTTCAGTTGGATCTACACGTACGTCATCTTGATGGCAATAATCGGTAAAGCGGTGGTTGAGATATTTATCATCATTGCGGCCGATCCGGGTGTGAGTCCGATGCTCAAGCTCGGCGTGAGATTCGTGTTAGACCCGTTATTTTGGGAATTCGTTCGCGCCGTCGAGCGTCACTACGCCAGACTGAATCCATCGCCAGGACCGTGTCTTCAACTACCGTATTTCGTTTCCTTCACGCTTCAGCAGGCGTTCTTCTCGAGATATATCATGTTCCTCCTCTCCGCAGGTGGCGCAGTGAAAAGCATGGCCACCGTTCAAGCCGTTTTGTCGCTGCACGAGCTCATGGTCAACCTTGTCCAGAAGGACCGCGACGTGCACCTTGTGAAACTATTTCTGGGTAGGCAATCCGCCGAGGCGATTCTCATCTCTCGGAAGCAACACGATATAGTCGCATTGAATTCGATAGTCTCATCGTTCGCTGAGATCTGCGCTGTCATCGTCATTTCACTGTATCTGTACGTTTTTCGAATGGCGACGGAGGGTAACGAAAACATCGTCAACTTGAGGGCATATGGCGTTCAGGCGATCAATTTGATCGCCATAGAAGTGGTGCTGTCGTTTTTCGTCATGTATGTGCAGCAGCGTTTTCACGGCATACGGCATGGCGACGTCTTCCCGAGCGGGGACTTCATGCGTAGAGGACGCTGGTTCATCGTGAGCTACAGATTTGTTGTCTTCATGTGGATCACCGTCATGATGGCGCACAAAATCACCATTTATCTCGTTGGTTCTCAGTTTCACAAGTATCTTTGTCCTCGAATCAACGATGACGGGAACGTGTACTCGTACCAGTGCACGACTGAAGACCTGAAGCTTGCACCGGGTGGATTCTACTTGAACTCGAACGCGTTCCTGGTACAGATGTACGACTACCCCGTGGCGAATCTCGAGAATGACGCGCGCTCGTGAGCCAAATTTGTGATATAGATTACAAGCTTAGCGCAGTGATCGCTATAATCATCGTTTGCCTTTGGCGCGATCCTTTGTCTCAACAGCGCTTCGATCGGTTTCAGAAGATTCAGCTATCGGTGACACCACTTCTCTGCTCACTTCACGCGAGTGGCCGATGGATAACGATTTTCGGCCATCGATAGAACCTCGCGCGGCCGGGATCTCGGGGATATCAGGTTGTTTACCCCAGACGTCTGCGAAAGACAGTTGTCGTCTGTGCCTCGGCTTGACTATGTCCTCCGACTTGATCGGTGTGATTCCTAAATTCTCAATGACGACGCCCTTAAGTGTGCCTACCCGACGCGGAGAAGAGAACTCAACATCCAACTTTTGACCGGGTTCTTTCCCTTCCTTCTCGCTGACGTCTCCGTGAAGGCGTTTTCTTGCCAAATCTCTATCTTGTACTGCGTCGACCAAAGTCGGTTTGAAGAAGCGATAGATACAGATGACATACATGTACGGCATCAATGCCAACGCAGCTCCGGGCCAGAAACCCACCCAATACTTGGCCACCTGAGACGTGATGGGCAAGAAAGTCTTCCAGCTGTACGTCGAGTAAAACACTTCGGTTTCACTCAGGGCTATGTTTAGGAGCCACCACAACAAAATCGACCCCCAAACGACGACGTGATGTAAAATTGTCCAAAAGTTGCTTATCAATGCGAGTTGCAAGTTGAGAGCGATGAGAACGGACGTGTACAACGTGGTGCCAACTTCCCATAGACCGAACGGTCTGCCATCCTTAGAGTCCGCCTCGCCCGTGTGGATACCGTAAAAGACTGTTAAGAAGCAAACTACACCGACATACATACCATACACAAACCAAAGCAGTCTACGCCGTGACGTGAACTGCGTGTTCGCTTGAGTTTCTCGGTACAGCTGCGGGATCTGCAAAGAACTCTGAGGCTTCACATCTTGGTCCAGGACGCCCAAGACCAAAACTGGGAAGTTCGTGAAGAAAATGTTGAACGATGACATCAGCCAATCGTTGTAAACAGTCTGTCCGCTAGCGTTTGTATGCATGTTGTACATGAAAATGGTAACGCCAAAGGCAACGTTCTTGAAGAAGAAGTACGTCACCATGCGAGCAATTCGTTTGTAGTTGTACCGACCATGAAGGAGAATCAAGCGCTCTAAGTAACGGAACTGGGCGAACGCGAAGTCCGAGGCCATGGTAGCTTGCATGCCTTCCTGGCCGCTGATGCCTACGCCGATGTGCGCCGCCTGAATCATTCCAACGTCATTAGCACCGTCACCGATGGCTAACGTGATGCGGCCAGAGTCTCTGACGAGCTGCGTGACGAGCGCTTTCTGCAAAGGGGATACACGACAACATATCACTGCGCTGCACTTTGTTCCTAGAGACAAAAATGCTCCCGCGAGTTCCTCTTTCAGCGCGAGAGTTAGCGATCGACCATCAATCACCATGCCCACTTCAGCGTTCATCATCAGGGCAGCCTCTGCGTCAACTAGGCCAGCTTCGATTTGATGTTTCACCGACGCCATCGCGAGGTGTTCGAACTCGTCGCTATCGATGTCTCCTTCGTTCTCTGATTTCACCAGGTCCTCAACATTGATTATTCGAAGCTTCATCTGCGGTGTGATCAGCGAGCAAGCCTGGCCGATGTTTATCGCCGTATCTTGCTTATCGCCGGTAAGCACCCACACGGCAATGTTAGCCTTCATAAGTTGCTCGATGGTGCGCGGGACACCCTCCTGCAACTTGTCTTCGATCGCAGTCGCGCCCAAGAGAGTGAGATCGGTTTCAATGAGCTCTGCGACTTCTTCAAGCTTTTCGGCTCTGTTTGACAGAGCCTGACTGGCCTCAACAAACTGTTTGTTCCACTTGTTGTATTCACCCTCATTGAGTTCCTTGGACGCTAGGCAAAGCGTGCGTAAACCGCATTTCGCCCAATCATCCATGTGTTCTTGCGTCGTCGCTCTGAAAGCATTGTCCTCTGGTTTCATGCGCTGATAAATGACGCTATCGGCACCTTTCGTGTACATCATAAGCTTTCCATCTCGCGAGTTTCGCACGATAACGCTCATGCGCTTGCGCGCAGAGGAAAATTCGAGCACATTCAAGATTTTGTACTCGACGTCCATTTTAGCGGGATTTCCGTTCTCGAACGCCTCTTCTACCACCGTGATCGTCGTCGCAGTCCTCTTCTTGAAAAAGAAGCCAAACTGTTTCGCCGCTACAACGAACGCGAGTTCGTCTGGACTCTCTGCTTGGTACACGATCTCGTTAGGAGTCGGTTCTCCTTCTGGGACCACCGTCTGGCAAACAGCAAGAACACGGAAAAAATCTCGAGTAATGTGGGCGTCTGGGCGTTTGTGCCACTCACCGCGCTCCAGTCTCGGATCTCTGAAGTTGAAAGATGGTTCAATTGGATCCATCTTCTTTGGAGCCGGTTCACCTCTTCGCTGAAGGATGGCTCGCTCAATCTCGGTTACACCTTCACCGTAAGACACGCCGGCGATCGAGCACTTGAAGAACTCCATGCTGTTGCATGTCAACGTCCCAGTTTTATCGCTCAGCACGGTGTGAATCATACCGAGCTCTTCATTGAGGTTCGTGGTGCGGCACAGCGCCGGTGTGTCCGTTGGCTCGTGATACATCGCTCGGTCCTTGTTCAGGAAAACAAATCCTTGCACGACCTTAACAAGTTCGAGAGAAACGTACAGCGAGATTGGGATGAGGTAACCATAGAGTACGTAGGACGTGAAGAAGGAAATGACTCCCACGAGCGGCTTATTATCCGGGTTGAACGTCACATCTTGTTGGTTCACGACCAGGTACCAGTGGTCTGCCGCTTGGTTGCCGATCCATGACGAACAGTATATCGCCGATACAGTGCTCATCGCGACAAGCGCGATGAGCATGGTGATAACGATGACATCCATTTGTTTCTCAAGGTACGAACGCTTAGATGGGGCGTCGCTGGAGTTCTGCATCACCTTTGTATCATGACCGGTGTACGCTGCGATACCGACGACCCACTCAGTGTTTCGAAGGCTCGAACCTCTCAAAAGAACGTTATTTGGATTGAGGGCGACTTTTTTAGCGTCTCCGCTGGTCACAGAGCTGCTAAGAGTGGTAACGCCCGTGAAGGTGTACAGAGAGTTGTTCGGTAGATCGCACTCGACGGTCGTCTCACTATCAGCGCACATCTTCACAAACGCCTCTCGCTCAAACTTCAGACCTTCCACGTCGACGGAACGCTTCGTCTTGAGGTTCGTTTCACCGTCTAAATTTTTCGTCTCGACATAGCACGAGTTCTCCTCTAGAGAGCTATCGAGCATGATGAGATCGCAGGGAAAGAACTGGTCGCGGACAACTCGCACGATGTTACCCGCCTGCAATTCTCTCCATTCGCACTTCTCGAACGACGTTCCGTTAAATCTTTCCGTAGGCGACGTATTCTGCTGTCGATCTTGCACGTGTCTCTTATAATCCTCAATCGCCTCCTTGATGAGCGAGAGTCCGATCACGAGCGCCAACGGCGTCCAAGTGGTGTACGGCTTGATCGGCGAAACCGTTTCAAACACAGAGATGATCGCCACCGACAAGAAATACAAGTTCGCCACTCGACGAAACTGCTCGTACAACCCCTTCGGCACGAAAGTCACGGCGTTGTATTTCCCGGTACTGATCGCGTTTCCTCGGATTCGTCCATTCCGCCCGCCGTGTTCAACCTTCGGCGCATTCGGTTGCCCGGCGCCCACGACTAAGTGCCGCGTCTTCGGCGCTTTATCTCGTCGCGACTTCGCCCTGGCGCTCAACGGGCGTTCGATCGGTGCCATATCTCTCGACCCTTTCGCGCGCGCCGTTTGACCGCCCGTGAGCCACGAAGACGACGCGTGAACGCACGAATAGAAACGAAATTCACGATCGTTCGTTCAACCGATCGCGCGTTCGATCGCGCGCGCGCGCTCGACGTTTTCGTCCGTGCGCCGTCCGTATCGCTCGGTCGACGTCGACGCAATCGTTCGCGCGCGTCGACGCGCTCGAAGGCGCGGGATCAACGCGCGCGCGTGTGCGGAACGTCTGTGAGCTCGTTCGAGCGCGAGGTTCGGGTCCAATGAAAATGTTGACGCTCGGTTACAGTGATGGAGTTTGCTACGCGACGCGCGGGGCGCCCTGGGCGTCGAGGTTGATCCACTTCGCGTCGCCCATCGGAGCCTTCTCGGCGGAACCGACGATAGCGATCGCGGGCTCGACGCCGGCGAGGTGGCGCGCCGCAGCGCGGCGTAAATCCTCGGGAGACGCGCAGAGCAAGCCGTCGCGGAAGCGTTGCCGCTCGGCTTCGGTGACGCCGGAAACGAAGGAGGATTGCCCGCGAGCGCTGGGCGCGAGCGGGGCGTCGAGCGTCTTAAACGCGCGAAGTTGCGCCTCCTCGAGCTCCTTCTTCGTGATGTTGCCTTCGGTCGTGGCCCAGTCGATGGACTTGGCGAACGTGTCCAGCGTCTCCGTCGTGTTCGGATCGCGGTACGAGAAGAAAGTGAACAGGGCGTTCATCGGATCTGAAGCGCATCCACCGCCGTACGCGCCGCCCTTTTCACGAATTTCGCGGTGAAGATATCCTGCGCTCAAAGCCTGAGCGAGTAAGAACAGCGCCGGAGCGTCGGGGTGGGTGTACGGAAGTGCTGGGAGCGCTGCGGAGCAGTAGTTCGTCTGGCCCGTGACGGAGACAAAGACTTTCTTTAACTCTGGCTTGAACGACTTGAGCTTCGTCTCTACGGTATCCTTGTCGCTCGGTGCCACGGCGACGGGTTTGATACTCTTCAGGTACTGCGCGAAGGAGCGCTCAGCCGCGTTGAAGCTCTCCTTTTGGCACGCAAGTCGGCAACGCTGCACGCGCTCCGGTCGAAGTGCATAGGCAGCGATTTCGCTCAGTGCGTTCTCAACTTCCTCTGTGGCGTTCTCCTTTGAAAGACGAGAAACCAAGCCGACGTGCGGCATACCGCCCGTTTCGTTACCGAACGCGCTCGCGGCGTTGATTTGCGACCCGGCGAGAGCTCTGGCGTACGTCATCCCTTGTTGACCGACGGAGGACCCGAGCGCGGTGGCGCGTCGGGCAAGTAACAACTTCAAGCGTTCCTCTTCACCGCGCCACTTCACCGATTCTGTGAGATCGGTTAGAATATCGAACATAGCGTCAACGTTACGTTCGAGCGCGTGACCGCTGATGGAGAGCGACAGTTGCTGCGTCTTCGTACCATCCGCGGAGGGACGAAACACGGATCCAACCGAGAAACCTCCTGTACGGAGCTTGATTTCTTCCGCCAAATCCTTGAACTTCATCTTTTCCGTGCCGAGTTGATCCATAAAGTCCGTGAATAAATCTAAATACGGAACAAGACGTTCGGGAAGCCCATCAAGATCGAAGTGCGTGGTGAAGTAGACGACTCCATTCGTCGGCTGCTCGTCGTACTGAAGCGGGACGCCGTCGGCAATTTTCGTATGCTTCGACCCCCAGCGCTTGATATCCTTTTCTACGGCTTCAGACACTACAAGCGTTGGCAAAACGGACACGTCCTCTTTCTTGTCTTGATTATCCTTCAGGAGCAACGCGTTGGCAACGATCTTCTGCTTTTCTTCATCGCTCAGCATCTTTTCGATTTGCTTAAGCTTCTTCTTCTCTGCCTCGTCAAGCTTCTTGTCGTACTCCTCGTCGGTGCGAGCGGTGATGGTGAGACGATGCTTGTTGTCCAAGAACCACTTCTTGATCAATTTTTGCCAGTACTGCGGATCGGCATCGAGCGCAGAATTGAGCTTCGCAGCGAGCTCCGGGGTGCGCAGCGCGTTCAGGGCGTCGCCGTCGTGCACCCACGTCGAGTACGCGCCGAATCCTGTGTAAAGACCGAACTGTGTCGTCACCACGGCCGAGTCGAGCTCGATTTGATGCATCACCGCCTCGACCCGCTCTCGCGGGAAGCCCTCGCGCGCGATACGCTCGAGAACTTCTTCGATGATCTTTTCCACCTTGTTCACATCCGACTCCGCGACGTCCTTCAAACCAACCGCGAAGGACGTCTCGCGGCGAGAACCGTTGTAGCCAGTTCCCGAGGCGAACGCGCTCCCGAGACGGGGCTCGAGTAGGGCTTCGTAGAAGTACGATTGCGGCCCGTTCGTGAGCAAGTCACTGGCGACGCCGAGCGCAAAGTTGTCGAGCGAGACCGGTTCTTTGATTTGGTTTATCATGAGCCACGCGAGGGAGATGATCGACTGCTTGTTCTTATCAGCGACGACGGCGTCGGCGGGAACGGTCACCTCGACTCTCTTCGGTGCGATGAATCGCTTTTCGTCCTCCACGACGAGCTTGCTGACGTCGAACTTGTCGAAACGGCTCAGAGCCGAGTCTTCGATTTGTTGAAGTGTCTCCTCGAGAGGGAAATCGCCGTACGTGTAAAACTTGGAGTTCGACGGGTGATAGTGCACCGCGTGGAAGTTTCTCAGTTGCTCGTACGTGAGATCCGGGATGTTGATCGGATCACCACCGCTGTTCCAGTGGTACGTCGACGTCGGGAAGAGGTGCTCTCCGAGCGCGCGACCGTACCGAGCGCTCTGCGACCCCATCGCCCCCTTCATCTCGTTGAAAACGATCCCCTTGTAAATTAAATCGCTTGTCGGGTCCTCCATCTTCGCGAACTCGAAACGATGCCCCTCTTGAGAGAAGTCGATCTCCGCAATCTTCGGGAAGAAGGCGGCGTCGAGGTAGACGTCGAGCAAATTCTTATAGTCTACCCGGTTCATCGTGGAGAACGGATAGCACGTGAAATCGCTCGCCGTCATCGCGTTCATAAAAGTGCTCAACGATCGTCGAAGCATGTTAAAGAACGGATCTCTCACCGGGTACTTTTCGCTCCCGCACAAAACCGTGTGCTCTAACACGTGCGCGACACCCGTGGAGTCCCGAGGCGTCGTCCTGAACGCAACGTTAAAACTGTTATTCGAATCGTCCGCCCCCACGTGTAAGTGCTTCGCCCCAGTCTTCACGTGTTCCAGCTCCACCGCCACGACGTCGTACGGCATCACTCGCCGCGTCGACGTCACCTCGAACGCGCCGTTCGCCAGCCGCGTCCCCGGCGTCAACGCCTCCAGCGCGTCCAACATCGCCCGCGCGTCGCTCGCTCTCACCCCACCCATCCCAGGCGCGATCGCCGCGCTCGCCCCTCGTCCGTATCCCGCTCCCGAGGTCCCGATCGCCGTCGCCGTGCCCGCGATGACTTCCCGTCGACTCGCTCTCGCGCGCACGCCCGCGTGCGCTCGTCCACCCTCCCGTCGCGCGCGCGTCCGACCCTCGACGCGCGCCCGCGACGCGCGCGCGCGCACGCTCGCCCCGCGCACCGCCGCGCGCGCGCGCATTCGACGACGCGACGACGACGCGACGACGACGACGCGCGTCGACCGATGACGTCGATGGGACGCGAGGCATCGGTCGACGTCGACCGGTCGCGTGTGGGAAAACACCGGTCGACGCCTTTCGGTCGCGTCCCTTTCGAGCACCGGTGGAATGATTCGACGCGCGAGGCGTGGGACGCGCGCACTGCATCGGTGTACATCGACCGGTCGCGCGTGGGAAAACACCGGTCGACGCCTTTCGGTCGCGTCCCTTTCGAGCACCGGTGGAATGATTCGACGCCGCGCGACGGCGACGGCGACGGCGACGGCGACGCAGACGACGACGCGCGATGCGTGTGCTCGCGCGCGCGCTCGCGCGAACGCTCGGGACGGGACGGTGGACGAGCGCGCGTCGGTTCGGGGACGGGCGAGCGCGAGCGTCGGGGCGAGGTCGGCGGCGCTGGGCTCGGGACGGATGACGACGACGACGCGGACGACGACGACGACGCGAACGCGCGCGCGGGCGAGCGCGGGGGTGGGGGGGAGCGCGTGCCCGGGATGTGGGGTGGGATTGCAAGACGTTGATGCGAACGCGCCGGGGTTTTACGTGACGCCGAAGAAGATGTTGGCGGCGGCGGACGCGGACGCGGACGCGGACGCGGAAGACGAGGAGGCGTTCGACGTCGACGCGGGTGGGTTCGAGTTCGATGCGGACGATGATGATTTTGACGACGATGATATCGATGAGACGCTGACGCTTCCGGGGTACGAGTTGGCGCCTTTGGTCGACGCGGAGGACGCGGAGGCGAAATTGGACGCGTTCAACGCGCTGTTCGACGAGGACGACGAGGGAACGAAACGAAGGGCGAAGAAGAAGAAGAAGGGTCCGCCGGTCATAGTGTGCGCGCGGTGTTTCGCGCTGCGAACGAGCGGTAGGGTGAAGAACGAGGCGGGGGAATCGCTTTTGCCGTCTTTCGACTTCGAGCGCGTCATCGGGGACAGGTTTAATCGACTGAGGGAAAAGAATAGCGCGGTCGTTTTACTCATGGTGGACTTGATCGATTACGACGGTTCGTTTCCGGTCGACGCCGTAGATGTCATCGAACCGTACGTGCAAAAGGGTGTGCTGGAAGTCCTGCTCGTTGCGAACAAAGTGGACTTAATGCCGGCGCAGTGCACGCGAACGCGCTTAACCTCCTTCGTTCGTCAGCGATCGAAAGATTTCGGCCTTTCACGATGCTCGGGCGTGCACTTGGTGAGCGCAAAGGCAGGAATGGGAATGGAAATCTTGGCGAACCAACTCGAGGAGATGCTCGACAGAGGGAAGGAGGTGTACGTCGTCGGGGCGCAAAACGCTGGCAAGAGCTCACTCATCAATCGACTGAGCTCGAAATACGGTGGACCGGGCGAAGAGGACGGTGGTCCGATCGCGAGTCCGCTCCCAGGGACGACGCTCGGCATGGTCAAGCTCGCGAGCTTGCTCCCCAATGGCTCGGACGTGTACGACACTCCTGGGTTGTTGCAACCGTTCCAGCTGTCGGCTCGGCTCACGGGCGAAGAGATGAAGATGGTGCTCCCGAACAAGCGCTTAACGCCTCGGACGTACCGTATCCAGGTCGGTGGAACCATTCATATAGGTGCTTTGGCGCGAATAGATCTGTTGGAGTCTCCGCAGCGCACGCTGTACCTCACGGTGTGGGCATCCAACAAAGTCCCGACCCACTACTCGACGTCAGCCAAGGCGGCGGACACTTTCCTGGAGAAACACGCTGGGACGAAGATGACTCCTCCGCTTGGGCAAGAACGCATGCAGCAGTTCGGTCAGTGGGGCTCGCGTTTGGTGAACGTCTACGGTGAAGACTGGCAGAAATCGACGCGAGACATCTCCATCGCTGGGTTGTGTTGGATCGGCGTCGGCTGCAACGGTAACGCTTCGTTCCGTGTGTGGACGCACGAGGGCGTGCAAGTGGTCACTCGCGAGGCGCTCGTGCCGGATATGGATAAACAGTTGATGTCACCCGGGTTCTCGTTCGAAAACGTCGGCGGTGGGTCGTCGGGATCTAACAAAAAACCAAACGAGCGTGCAAACAGACAGAGAGGCATCGGTGGTGGAGGAGGCGGGCGTGGTGGCGAACGCGGTGGTGGACGAGGTCGAAGTGGTTCGAAACGATGATACTCGTATTGGCTCGCCTTGGGCGAATGACGCCGTTCCGCCTTCTCGAGTGAGATTGTCGTCTCGTTTCCAGTCAACGCTGTCGCCTCGGTTTCTTGCCACACAAGTCAACGCCCACACTTTTCGAAGCGCGCGTCACATGACCTACTGCGAATGCTGCGGTGAGCGCATCCACTCTGGATCGAACCGACGGGCGCACCGCGCCAACATTCGACGTGACGCTGAGGACGACTATGCGTACGTGCCAAGAAAGGACGATTTGGTGTATCAACCCACGCAGAACGAACGAACCTTGGAAAATTTCATTCGAAGCGCGCTCGAGGATGAAGATCACCCAGAGGGCGTCGCAATGAATCGTTCTCTCGTCACGGTGTTCGTCATGAGGTTCACGCCGAATCCGATGATGGATTCATTCAAGTTGGATGTGCGGTTAGACGAAACCAAAGCCTGCGTGACGTATCAGAACATCAAGCGACGAAGGTTTCTTCGACGAGCGACGGACTGGGGACCACTCGCGTTCGGCCAAACGAGTATTATCGTTCGTAACTTTTACAACAAGGTTGATGAGTTACCATTCAAGCGCGTTCGCGGATACGTGCTGTGGTCAAAGGGAAAGTGCGTTGGTTCGAGTAGCGGAGCCTTACAAGTCCCGCGAGCCGGGCTCGTGCTCTCGTACTCGATGTCACCACCCTCGCCCGAAGAACGCGTCGAGTTTGTCGATGACTACGACGAGGCCCAGTTGAGAATCGCATCCATCGCGGCTTGAAGTGAGAACGTATCTTGTATTAAATAGTCAGCAACTGCTTCAACGCTCCTTCGACGACTCGTCCCCGCCCTCGCTCGAGTCCACCGCCTTTTCCTTGAGCTTCGCCATGAGCTTATCTGCCATCGCGTCCTTCCAATCACCGCTCTGCACAGCCTCCTTCTTCACCTCGACCACGTTTCCGTCCTCGTCCATCTCCATCTCTCGCTCGAGCGACTTTGCGACGCCGAGCACTGATTTCCCCATGATCGCCGCCGTCACGACGTCCGCGAGCAACAAAATCGCCCCCAACTTCCCAAACTTCGTCGCCGTCTCCCCCACGTCCACCGGTTCCTTCGCTTCGCTCGACGCTTCGACGTCCATCTTTTTCGTCCCCGCGCGCTCTCGTCGCCACGTCTCGCTCCCCGCCTCGACGTCCCCCGTCGCGCTCGCCTTGATGATCTCCAGCAGATCCACGTCTTCGTCCACGGCGGACTTCAGGAGCCAATCGATGGGCTGTCCCGCCGCGCGCGCGTCCCTCGCGTCGACCACGAGCGCGGCGTTCGCGCTCGCAATCATCGAAATCATCATCGCGTCCCGTCGCCTCGCCCGCCCGCCCGTTCGCGCGCGTCCCGCCTCACCGCCCCCGCGCGTCGTCTCCGGCGCGATCGTCGGCGTCGTCGCCGCGCGCATGGCGCTGTAAGGCGCGGCGCGGTCTCGGACGCGCGCGATCGACGCAAACGCCGCGTCGTGGAATGGATTCAAAGGCATCGACAGGTCGCGCGCCTTTGGAATTCCAAAGGCGTCGGCACCTTTAGATTTTCCCGCGCGCGGTGTGAACATTCGATTGAAAGAATTTTCACACGTCGACGCGCCGACGCGCGCGAACGTTTCATGCGAACGTCGACGATCGGCGACGACGCGCGTGGATCGCAGTCGGGCGTCCGTCGTCGACGCGGCGCGCGCCGAGCGCGGCGGACGGCGGTGCGAATACACGCGCGCGTGGGGGATTCGGTGAATTCTGAGACGATGGCTGCCCTGCGCACCGGACGCGCGCTCGCGCGGGCGCTCGAACGCGCGGGTGGGGGACGCGGGGCGATCGAGAGATGCGGTGGGTCCTCGAGAACGCGCGCGGCGCACGCGGCGGCGAGTGGATGGGCGGGAAGTGGGCGGGATGATGGCGCGGGAGGAGGCGACGGGCGAAGACGGGACGGACGCGCGGCGCCGCGGGCGGACGGGCAGAGTGGGGGGACGAACGTGCAGTGGCTTCGAGGACAAGGGATGCCGGCGCAGGGAGGAGTGAGGCAGGACCAGGCGCCGTCGTCGGCGCCGCGAGGCGTGGCTCCGGCGCCACTGAGAGGGACGCCGGCGCCGCCTCCGCAGCAGCGACAGAGAGCGCCGCAAGGCGGGACGCAAACTCCGAGATCGCCGCCTCAACAAGGACGGTCACCGCCGAGAGCGCCGAGCGCGGAGAACACGACGTCCGCGACCGGACACTTCAGCACGCCCGCACCGGTCGTTCATAGATCGAGACCGGACGCCGAGGGCGAGTACGCGGCGCAGGAGAGCACGGGACCGCCCGGACTTCGCGACGCGTTGATGGATCAGGGCATCGTGCTTCAGAGCTACACCCCGGGTCAGCACCGCATCATTTGTCCGACCTGTAACGGCGGCTCCACGGGTGAGAGATCGCTCGCGGTGCACATCGAGGACGACGGGAAGAGCGCGGCGTGGTGCTGTCATCGAGCAAACTGCGAGTGGACCGGCGGCACCAGCAAGGAGGGAAGACAGCGCGCGTCCAAGGGCGCCGACGGCGCCGCATCGAATCGACGCGTGGCGAAGCCCAAACTTCCCGATCCCGCTGACTTACAGCGCATCGGCCCGGGAAATATGACTCCGGCTGCGACGAAATGGTCCGAGTTCCTCAAGTCGAGAGGCATCTCGCTCGAGGTGGCCGAACGCAACGGCTTGGCGGTGCAAAACGTCTACTCGCCGCCCGCGAGTGGTTATGTGGACGCCTTATGTTTCCCGTACATGCGCGATGGCGAGCTGATTAACATCAAGTATCGCGGTCCGGATAAGTCGTTCTGGCAAGTCAAGGGCGCGGAGAAGATCCTGTATGGTTTGGACGATGTCGCCGGTGAAGAGGAAGTGATTATCGTCGAGGGTGAGATGGATAAGCTCGCGTTGGAGATGGCCGGGTTCAGGAACGTGGTTTCTGTCCCCGACGGCGCACCGGGTAAGGTGAAGGACGGTGCGCTTCCGTCGCCCGAAGATGACAGAAAATACGAATACTTGTGGAACTGCCGTGCGCAGCTCGACACGATCTCTCGGTTCGTCATCGCTACGGATTCTGATGGTCCCGGTCGAGCCCTGTCCGAAGAGTTGGCGAGGCGTCTTGGTAAGGAGCGTTGCTGGCGAGTAACCTGGCCGGAAGGTTGCAAAGACGCCAACGAGGCGCTGCAAAAGGAGGGTGTGGAGACTGTTCGCGAGAGCTTGAGTACGGCGGAGGGCTTCCCTTTGCGAGGCCTTTTCCGGTTCTCCGAGTTCGCGCCGGAGATCGAGTCGTACTTTAACATGACCACCGCGAATGAACTTCGAGGTGTGTCTACCGGTTGGCGCAACATCGACAACCACTATCGCGTCGTCCCGGGTGAACTCACAGTTGTAACCGGCGTGCCGAATAGCGGCAAATCTGAGTGGGTGGATGCGTTGATGTGCAACTTGGCCGTTCAGCACGGTTGGTCGTTTGCGCTGTGCTCGTTGGAGAACAAAGTACACGAGCACGCTCGGAAGTTGGTGGAGAAATACGTCGGCGAACCTTGGTTCGAGGGTAAGTACTCCAAAGCGCCTCGCATGAATCCCGACTCGATGCGTACCGGCATGAAGTGGTTGAATGAACACTTCGTCCTCATTCGCCACGAGGACGATGAGCTGCCGAGCGTCGATTGGATCTTAGGCTTGGCTCGCGCCGCGGTGTTGCGGCACGGCATTCGTGGATTATTGATCGATCCCTACAACGAGCTCGATCACAAGCGCCCCACCGGGCAGACAGAGACCGAGTACGTGTCGCAAATGCTCACGCGAATCAAACGATTCGCCCAGCATTACGACGTCCACGTCTGGTTCGTAGCGCACCCTCGTCAGTTACACAACTGGAAAGGTGAGTGTCCCGGTCTGTACGACATTTCCGGCTCGGCGCACTTCATCAACAAGTGCGACAACGGCATCGTCGTCCACCGTAACCGCGACGAAAAGCTTGGCTCCCTCCGCGAGGTCACCGTTAACGTTCAAAAAGTCAGAAACAAGGTGGCCGGATCCATTGGTGAACCCAAACTCGAGTATAACGTCGCCAACGGTCGATACGTCGACGTCGTCTGAGCGCAGTTCATCGATTTGCAATAGAATTTCAAACTCAAACTCAAACTCAAACTCAAACTCAAACTCAAACTCAAACCGCTCGGAGTTGGCCGTTACCGGTATTTTCAAAAAAACGCGCGTGACAGCTCAGCGCGCGCGCTCGTCCCGCGCGTCCCCGCGCTCGCGACCGACATGGGAAACTACAAGAAGTCGAAAAACTACCAACCCAACAAGCGCGCGAGCGCGCGCGTTCCCGGCTTCGCTCCCGGCGTCGTCACCGGCGACGCCGCGGTCAAGGCTTTGGGCACCATTCTGAACGGCGTGCGGCTCGGTGACATTCCGCCCGAGCGCGTCTTTTACGCGAAGCTCGACGAGCTGAAGATGCCCGCGAACGTCCAAGCACGCGAGGAAGGTTCCGGGGACACGGAGGATCCGCGAATCGCGACGATGACGAACGTGCGCAACGGGTCGTGGGACGTGGACGTGGACGCGAACCACTCCGGGACGACGCACTTTTCAAAACGCGTCCTACGCGGCTTGACGACGCCGATGCCGCGCGCGAAAGATTGTGGGGACCGATGTACTCCGAGTGTAGGAGTCGTGCTCGACCGCATGAAGACGATTTTCGGTGCGTGGATGGATTACGGGACGTGGTGCAACAGGGAAGCGGTGACGCAGGCCGAACTGGGACGATACGAGACCGCGCTGTGGCTCGCGCTCGAGTGCGACGCGTGCGCACAGAGCCCATTCATGTTGACCAACGTCGTTCAATCGTACACGAAGAAGCGTTTGAGGATGTCGGATGATCCACGCAAGAAGGATGAAGCCGCTCGCGTGCTCCTGGAGGACGGCGTGTGGTCCACGTTATGCGACAAAGCTTTGACAACGCCGGCGATGAAGGAACGTTTTGAAGATATCAAAGCAATGCGAGCGGAGCTAGCCACAGCTCCGGCAGGTATCCACGAGTACACGCCGCAGCAGCTCGTTAACATGGGTATTCCTCCGCGGCAAGTTATGGAGCTCTACGAGTTACTTGACGTCGTCGATTACTTCGATCACTTCGTAGAGAGCCACGTCCGAGCGTCCGTCGAAAAAGGCATTTGCGAAGTGCACGCGGAGAAGGAAGGTCTCGGGACTTTCGACAAACCGTGGAGCACGATCCAACTCAGCAAAGACTCGGAGACAGTGGTGCGCACGCTTCGCGAGATAGCTCGCGAGCACAGTTCGCTCTTCTGCGTCGACGTCGTCGACCGCACCGACGACTCGGCGTCATTACCGAGCGTTCGTCGTCGTCGATGCCAAACGTGATCTCGACCTCGACCAAGTCGTGCGTCGCGTGTACATGAATCAGAGAAGGGTCGTCTTTACAACGCCTACGTCCGCGCGCCCTCTTCGCGCGGCGTCACCATCTCCCCTCCACCTCTCACAGCGTCACGTTCGGAAAGCACTGTTCAAACGTCTGTTTCGGGTGTTTATTATCCGAGTGTTCCTTCAGCTTGGCCGGCGCGAGCGTGCACAGGAAGGATGTTCGGCACACCATGCACATCTGCGTCATCGCCTTCGCGTTCGTCGCGAGCTGCGACCCCGCGCCTTTGGCCGCGAGCTTCTCCTGCGCCTTTTTTCGCGCCATCGCGCTCTTCTGCGCGTTCCCGCCCCCCATGATCGCGGACGCCGCGCGCGCGGACTCTCGTCGCCGCCGCCGATCGCGACACCGCGTCGCGCCTGCACCCTGCACCACGCTAAACCCTACACCGTCACGACCATTTACGACTGCGGTCTCACGCCCGGTGTCGATCGAATACGCGTACTCCACGGCGTTGAAGACCATCACGTGACCCGTCGACGGGTGCGGTCGCGCGCGCGGCGACGACGACCGCGCGTCGACGCCGACGCTCGTTCACGCGTCGACGCGCGCGCGATGCTCCCGCGAGGTCTCGCGCGCGCCCTCGCGCGCGGTCGACGCGGCGCGCGGTCGCGCGGCGCGGCGCAGCGCGCGGATGCGCCGCGCGCGATGGATGAGGGGGGGGTGGGCGCGCCGCG